GACTAACGCGTTCCTGATTTTGGCATAATAACTAGTTACCGTGCTCGTTACCACAATAATAACGTAGTTACTGTAACGCGTTACTTAATAACGCGTTAGTCCCAACACTGAATATCAGTGAGGAAAAACTCAGAATTGTCAGCTGAACCTGCTTCCTGGAATAAAGCTCAGTTTAACATTTAAACTGAATCAACACTCTGAATCTGTTTATTGTGAATATGTCAACAACTAACTTTCTGTTTCTTGCAGGTTTAGTTCAACGTTGGTCAGTTAGGTCATGGCATATCAGTATCTGAGGCTCTTTTTTTTTAATTCTGTCCTTGTAAAGAATGCTGCTGAGGAATGTTTCATGCCTGCAGACACTGACATCAAACACAACAAAAACCAGGAGAACAGCTGAGACATTTCTGTATTCACTGTAACAAAGAACAAAGCAGTCAAGTGATATAACAGGACATATTGTAATCCCAGTCAAACTAGTGTTTCCCACACCAACTTTCAATATGAACATTATTAAGACATTTTTAGTCCTTACTTACAATCAATTATCCCATACAGACTGTTGCTCTTATGTTACATTCAACTACAGGACAGCTAAGAAAAATATTTTGCAAATAATGTAGCATACAGGTGAAAGAAGCCTGGGAAGTGAACAGTAAACTGGATTCCCTCATCTTCACAGGCCATTCAAAGATTCAGAGTATGGAGGGAAGGATCAAGGCTGAAAAACCTGGACAGCGCGTTTCTGTCCAGGTTTAATGCAGCGTTGCCTTAAAACAGTCCTGATTGCATGGTTCAAATCATGCCATGTTAGCAAAAATATCAAATGTATAACAGTCATATCTGTGAAAAAGGGCCACTGGTTTTACTAATAAAGATGGTAAAAAGTATCAGTAAAGTTAAAATTCAGAGTTTCTGTGCAACAGGAATGCACACAGTAAATCCTGCTTTATTCAGGCCTAAGACCTCAGGTGTGAAATACAGAGTTTGAGGAGGGTTTTCATGGCTCCACCCATTTATTACCATGCAAATAAAACAAGAAAAATGGAACAAGCTGCAAAGAAAGCCCTATGTTATTTTCTTTGATGATAGATGATGTGTTTAATGATATAGAGGCAGGGGTGGGGTGTTCACTTTTTGCTGATGATGGAGCAATATGGAAGAGAGGGAAAAATATAGAGTATATTGTGAAGAAACTGCAGGGAACAATTAGCAGAGTCGAAGAGTGGTCTTATAAGTGAGGTGTTAAATTTTCGGTTGATAAAACCAAGGTGATGTTTTTTACGAGGAAGAGAGTTGGTAAAGACATCAAGCTTAAGTTGTATGATCACAAATTAGAAAGGGTGAGTAAATTTAAGTTTCTTGGATTGTGGTTTGATGAAAGGTTAACATGGGCTGCGCATATTCAGAAGGTGGTGGACAAGTGTAAAAAAGTGTTGAATATAATGAGGTGTTTAGTTGTGAGGGACTGGGGAGCGGATAGAAAATCTTTGAGGGCCATATACACTGGGTTGGTCAGATCACTGTTGGATTATGGGTGTGTAGCATATAACTCAGCAGCAGACACAACTCTGGTAAAGTTAGACCATATTCAGTATCAGGCACTACGAATATTTAAAACATTTTAAAAAAAGCATTTAAAACAACTCCAACAGCAGCTTTACAGGTGGAGATGGGAGAGATGCCATTGGGACTGAGAAGGGAGCAGCTCACACTTAATTATTGGGCTAATTTACAGGGCCACGGGCAGGATCACCCAACGCATGAAGTACTTAAACCTGGGAGAAAGAAAGGAGGGAAAAGAAGAGCTTTGGATGGATTGTGGGGAGACAAGCAACAGCATTTAATCTGGATCAGTTAAACATTAGTCACAGAGTGCCGTTACCGGCAGTACCTCCATGACTACTTCCTGATGCTACAGTAGACTTAATATTGTTGAACTAGAAGAATGAGGATAGGGCATTTACTTTGAACTCTCATGTGGTACAGGTTTACATTGACCAATATTAGTTATGTTCAAATATATACAGACGCCTCAAAGAACACAACTGGTCAAACCAGTGTTGCAGTCGTGGTCCCAGAGTTTTCGGTGGAAATGGGTAAAAGGATTAGTAATGGGATTTCTGTGTACACCGGGGAAATGATCGCAATATTATTAGCTGTTCAGTGGGTGGAGGACGTGAGACCATTACATGCTGTCATTTGTTCAGATTCAAGTTCATTATTGGTCAGTCTACAGCATAGTCACTCAGACAGTAGAGCAGATGTTTTGGCGGAAATTCAGCAGTCACTTTTCCGGATACGCATGATGGGACTTGCAGTTGTGTTTTTGTGGGTGCCAGCACACTATGGCGTGTGGGCGAACAAAAAGGCAGATAGAGTAGCAAAGGAGGCCGTAAAACATGGGGTGGTTGACATGGCTGTTAGTTTTGGCCAAGCAGAGATTAGGAGTATGGTAAGGCAAGTTATGAGAGCAAGATGGCAAAAGCAGTGGGAGGAGGAAAGGAAGAGACGATGGTTGTATAAGATTCAAAGGAGGGTGGGAGGAATGAGAACTGCAGGACGGACTAGGAGGGAGGAGGTGATCATATCCTGATTGAGATTTGGACATACTGGCTTGAATAATACGTTATTCATGATTGGGAAACATAGTACCGGAAAATGTGATTACTGTGGGGTAGAGGAAACTATAGAACATGTCATGTTGCAGTGTCAGAGGTATCAGGTTGAGAGGAGACATTTGATTCAAAATCTTAGTAACCTAAAAATCAAACTGGATCTGGTTGATTTGCCGCGAAAGGAATCGGGAAGTAAAAGTTATCAGGCCTTATTTCAGCTTTTAAAAGAGGGGAACCTGTTTGGAAGGATTTGAGGATTTTTATTTATTTATTTATTTATTTTTTGAACGTCGTTCCAGACCATACTCCATACCAGTTGGTGGCGGTAATGCACCTTTCAATTGTTTGCCAACCGCCAATACAACTGTAAGAAAGAAGAAGAAAGAACACACCTGTCATGACACTCAGACACTTTCAGCTGTATTTAAAAACGTTAGCTTAATGTAGACATAACTTAAACTCAGATATTTAGTTATTGTGTTATATTGCCAGCATTTGGAAGTCTTCATACTTTCAGATGACGAGGAAATGCCTGCTTTAACCTCTGCGTCGCTCTGCTGCACTTTATTCTCTATCTGCTTCCTGTTTATCTCTGCAGGTAAGATTAAACTTTAAATTCAACTGGCCTTCCTGATTTACAAAATAACTGATTTATAAAATACCATCACTAAGAATTCCCTTCGTACTGATGTTTTAAAAGTGTATTTAAGTATTTAAGTGCCAGGTCGGGAAAGCTGCGCTAGCAAAGTGTGTCTAACTACGCTTATCAGTAATCATCAGTCAACTTGTAACGGCGTGGGCCCTGTGTCTGTTACAGTGGTCTTCTGCAGAAGTTAAAATGCTTTACAAACATTTAAAATGTAGCAGTCAGTTATCAATGTAAGGCTAGAGACAGCGATCTCTGGGCATGGTGGAGCTGTTTGGAATATATTAGCCTACTGTAGCTGTCACAGTTTACATGAAAGTAGTCTATTAAACCTTTAGACCAGGAGTCTCACACTTTATTTATTCTTATTTCAAATATTGTATAACAAGACAAAACTGAACACATATTTTTCTTTTCATATTTAACAAAATGAAAATGCAGACATAAGTGTACACATTAGATACTGACTACTAGTGAAACTTGTTTTCTTTACAAATAGCTCACCAACTGAACTAACATAGCCATATCCCAAAACATGTTTGCACGCTCTGCTCATATTGCCTCCATATTAAATTTTTTTTTTCTTTTTAAAGAACTTGTTTTAGCATTGCACTCAACAACAAACAAATCCTCCCTAACAAAAAAGTATTATATTTCTTCATGTTGGGATGCAAGTAGGGGTGAGGTTTAAGTAAATAAATAAATAAATACAAATCAAATTCACAATGTGACATAAAAATCATACATATCACACAAATAGAGTAGAATATCACAGGCATTATATATTTATAGGATTAAAAAATGGATAAAAAAATGTTAAGCTTATAAGTTCATGGGAGAAAATACCTTTAACCACCCATTTCTGTAGTTTATTCCTAAAAAAAAACACAACCCCAACTGTACCTTAAAACCCCTCTGAAACATAAAGGTTAATTAAAAGCTACTCATTTGGATCTGACACTGTCCAACTGGATAATGAATTGACATGTTGTTGGCTAAAAGTAAAATACATTTTATCATCATATAACTGTGACATGAACATGAACTTTGATGCTTTTAACCTCTTTGCTCTGTTGTTCCTTCTCTCAGACCAGAAAAACATCAAAGCAGTGCCTGGACAGACGGTCACTCTGCCATGTCAAGCTCCAAAACACAGACATATCATAGTTGTAGAGTGGAGCAGACGTGACCTAGACACAGAATATGTCCTTTTGTACCGGGATGAGCAGTTTGATCCAGAAAACCAGCATCCATCTTTTAAGAACCGAGTGGATCTGCAGGACAGACAGATGAAGGATGGAGACGTGTCTTTGATTCTGAAGGATGTGATGACCGCTGACACTGGAACATACGAGTGTCGTGTTTTCCAGACAGAAACAAACCATGGGAGGAGAGTATATCTAAAGACTGGTCCCATCATCATCAACCTGAGTGTTGTTCTTCCAGGTCAGTCTGTTATCAGTGGTAAAACTGTTTCCTTGTTTTTGACCTGAGATAGAAATGTCTTCTTACTAAAAATGTAGCGGTGCAAAATTTTGGTCCATTTATTTATCCCTTTTGTGGCTACAGAGAAGTGGTCTGTAGAGCAGATATGAGGAACACAAATGTAGCACAGAAATAATTCAATTTTTTTAATACCAAATCACAACAGCCACATCAGGGTGGTTTACATTATAAGGTAGACTACAATGATACATATAGAAAAACCCACAAAAACGATATGGCTCATTATGAGCAAGCACTTTGGCAACGGTGGGAAGAAAAAACTCAATTTTAATAGGAAGAAACCTCCAGCAGAACCAGGCTCAGTGAGGGGCGGGGCCATCTGTTAGATGGGAGGAAGACAAGACAAAGACATGTTGTGGAAGAGAGCCAGAGATTAAAAATAAGTATTGATACAGTAAGCAAAGAGCCACAGATTGATATTGTGAATATAAACAAAACACAGAAAGTGCTCAGTGCCATAGTGACATAAAAAATAGTTTTTTTTAATAAAAATGTCCAGAGTAAACAAAATAAATGATGAAAGCTGAAGAAGAGCTCTCAAAGTCTTATGCAGTATAAGGAGTGAATCCCTGTTGTCTCCAATTCAGACATGTTAGTCATTGTTACTAGGAATGTGCCGATACCGATATAAAGGCCAATACCGTAAAATGTGCGTGTACTCATACTTGTAAACGTTAACCGATATCATGAACCGATACCAACTTATTTCATGAGTCAGACGGTGGCTTGTCATTTCGGTTGTAATTTTTTTTTTAGTTTAGCCGGTAGGGGGATATATCGCTATGGGGTTAGGCGAGTGAGACTGGCGGCTCCTGTATTTACTAGGGGTGCAACGATACACAAAATTCACGGTTCGGTTCGATACTTTGGTGTCACGGTTCGATATTTTTTCGATACAAAAAAAATGTTCATGCCTTTTTAATTTGTCATTTATTA